CTGAAGCAATTGGCTATGTCAATAGGATTAACACATCATTTGCCTTGCGTATTTGTCATATATGGGATCTTGGATTGAGCTGCTCTGCATTTATATGGCGGAGATCTTCATTTGCACGTGGGGTAGGGGAGAGTTTATTTTGGTCATTGAGTGACTTTTTTTTTTTCTCATGGACACTAATTTTTGAGGAATCCTCCTCTGAGCACAGATTTATAAGCATTCCACACGACAGTAGGATTTGTTACAGATTCAACATTAACAGAAAAAAAAGATTCTATTTCAGCCCTGATCTGCGGGTTGTACAGTTTGTGGGTCAAGATGGAGGGGTTGAGTCTCCTTATGGAATGAGGTTTGGTCATAGGGCCCATAGTCAGTGTCATAGTCACCGGCGCATGATCTGACCAAGTGATGAACCCAATAGAGACAGATGTCACCTGTTGCAAGAGAGATTTAAAGGTGAGGAACAGATCAAGCCTGGAATAGGATCCTTGAGTAGAGGAAAAAAATGTGTAATAGCGCTCCGTAGCATGCATACAATGCCAGGTGTCATACAAATCTTCTGTTGTCATGAATGTGGACAGATTGGAAGATTGTTTTCTTAACGGGTTGGAGGAGTCCAGTGAGTGGTCTGGTATCTCATTGAAATCCCCACAGATAATGATACGATCTTTGGGATAGATGGTTAATTTTCTTAGTAAATCATAAAGAAAAGATTTCTGTCCTGTGTTAGGGGAGTAGATATTTACTACAACTAGTGGTGAGTTGTTAAATTTAGCTATGAGTATGATGAATCTACTTGGGGGGTCCTGCTCAGCGTGTTCTAGCTGAAACCTTACGGAGGAGTGCATGGCTATCATGACTCCTCTAGCTTTCTTATCTGAATGTGCAAAGTAGCAGTTGGGGTATTGTCTGTGGGAGCAAGCTGGCGCTTTCTGTTTGGCAAAGTGGGTTTCCTGGATGCAAAGGACATCCACATGTTGAGATATAGCTTCTTTCCATAGTAGGGAGCGTTTATATGGGCGATTAAGGCCCTTAGCATTAATAGTGGTGATAGTTAGAGACATGTTGGTGTGTGAAGGTAAGTGTTTACTCTAGTGCGGAGCAGGGATTAGACAGTTCACCTTTTATGTAGTCAGGATTAGATTGTTGATATACAAATATGAGCGACACCTGAATTTAATTAGATCAGCAGTAGATACACTAATATCGCTAAAATACTTCAGTATTGGAATATAGGTAAGAACTGAATTTATGTCAGCTTAGGCAATTATATTGCATCTCAGAACATAAAAAAAAAAACAAGAACTGTTCAAGTAATCGTAGCACGGCAGAATTAACGGAGGGTGGTTATACCAACACAAAGACTTTTTACTCATCCCAGGGGGGCACTTGGAGTAGCTGAGCATGGGTGCCGCTGTGAATATTAGGATACCTGAAATCCATTTGTGACCACATCTTGAAATCAGGGAGTTTAGGAGATTTCTTGGGTAAGGGGGTTTTTGGTGGAAATTAAGAGGTGAGACCCCAATTGTGTAGCTGTTTCAGGCCATCTTTGGGAAGGGAGTCAGCTGATTTTGATATGTGACTAGTAATTTTGGCGGGAAACCCCAGCAGTATGGGATGAGCTTTTCTTGCAGGATAGAGGTAACCTGAGCAAATGATCTTCTGGCACAGGCTGTAGCAGCCGAGATATCAGAATAGATAGAACTTGCTGTGTAGGGTGCCGGAAATGCATTAGTGGCTCTGGTTGCTTTGAGTAGTCTTTCCTTTATGTGGAAAACATGTATCCTATCCTGGACATCTCTCGGAATGGCATCAGGGAGGTGCTTTGGCTTTTGGATTCTATGCACGCAGTCAATCGTGAGCTCTTGAGTAGAGAGGTTGGGGATAATTGTGCAAAATAGCTGTTGCAAGTGTGGGATAAGATCAGCGGGTTTAATGGATTCAGGAATACCTCTGAATTTTAGATTATTTCACTTAGAGCGATCTTCAAGATCCGTTAGTTTGAGTTTTATTTGTTGAATTATGGTGGCTTGATCATCTTGAGTGTCAACAACCGCGTTATGAGCGTGAGCTATTTCGGACATCTGTTGTTCAATCGTATCTGTGCATTCTATGTATTGCATTCTGTGATGTATTTGTTGAAGGGAGATTCTTAAATCTTTCTGCATGTCTGCTTGCAGTGTGAGGAGCATAGACTTTAAAGTGTTTTCAGTTGCTGGGTTGTTGTTGGATGTGGGAAAGGTCGCTGAGGCTGTGGATGAGTCTGCAGCTGTATCGGGGAGTTCAATATCTGTTCCATGTTGTTTTTTATATGCAGGGGATTTAGCTGGGGAGCAAGCAGGTGATTCTGCAGCTCTCTTACCTCTCTCCATGGTGTTCTGAGCCAGCTCAGGGTCCCCTCGTACAGAGGCGTCCCTAGGGTTGGTGTCACCGGTGCGGTAACACTTGGTGACACCCCCTCCGATGATCCCCTCAGAATGGATCGGATCTGCAGATTGAGCATAATGGATCGGACTCCAATCCATTATGCTCAATCCGCAGATCTGATCAATCCTGCTTGCTTTACAACTTACCTTTTTTTGGAGCGGGTCCAGTGTCAACCCATGAGGTCGGTGTCACCCTGTGCGGATCGCAACCCCCGCACCTGCCTGGGGACGCCACTGCCCTTGTGTATTATCTTCTTCCATGTCACTGAGAGTGGCAGTCTCCTGCTCTGAGTGTGTGTCTGCCAGCATGTCTGTTGAGCGGTTCTTCCCGCCGGTGCCATCTTGGATGGATCTGTGAGGTGGCTTCATGAAGAAATCCTGCAGTTTCCTGGGTCTGTGTAGCAGCGTTTTTTTCGTGGACATGTCCAGGAGGGTTTCCGGAGCTAGTACCTTCGTTTTGGAGGTGATCGGTGCAGGCACTGATGCTTTGTAGTTGCCGTTGTGCCCCAGCTGGTTCAGAGCAAGGAAGTTAGGTGGCCATTTTGGGCTGCAGCCAGACCGCAACCCATGTTTAGTGAATTAGAAAAAAAATTTTTTTGGACCAAGCAAGTCCGAACAAACTGTTGACTTCACTAACAGATGCAGAGGCTGTGTGCACTGTATAAACTGTATGAAGCCTCAGCTACATACAGTATACAGAGTTGTGTTCAGGCAGTGGAACTGAGACTTCCAATCCTGTTCGTAGAACAAAATCAAATTGAACTAAGCTCTGCTCAGCCATTCAGAGAAAGATTTGTATTCTATGAATGAAGGTGGAAAAGCGGGAGGACAATGTCACAATCTCTGCCTCAGCCATGAGAGAAAGCTTTGTATTCATTCATAGAATACAAAGCTTCCTCTGACAGCTGAGCAGTGCTATACTGACTCAGTTTTGTTCTAGGAGTGGTGCTGGAAGCCACTGCCAGAACACAGCGCTGTATACTACATACAATTTATACAGTGCATCCAGTTGCTGCTTCTGTTAGTGACGCAAATAGTTCATTTGGACCAGCTGACCTGATGATCCTGCAATGAAGGTTCATGTTCAGGCACTTCCTGTTATAGGATGACAAAGCTCTACTTTAAAGGGCAATTCCACATTCCAGTAAATACCTGAACTTCAGACCCGCACAACCGCCAGGCAAGGATTATGGGGAATAGCCTCTTGTCCTAATCAACAAGGAAAAAGGTCTTTTCAGCCAGAGGGGTATCCCCGTCAAAGAAGCCTTAGCATGTTGAGGGCATGTGGCCTGGTATAGTTCAGGAGAAAGGGCAACATGTTTGCCCCCTTCCTTTCCTGGCCATCCAGACTGCATGCTTGGATAAAGGTATCTGGTGTGAATTTGTTTTAGGGTGGGGAGTCACTCTTTGAGTTCCTCCCTAAAATCCATACCAGACCAAAAAGGTTTGGTATTTGGTGGAACCCACTCTAATTTTTCTTTCATTTTTGTGTGTAGTTCCTGTTGACATCTATATGAGACTCTTATCTAAGATAAGGGTCTGTTATATATGAAGGCAATCTCCAGCCATTTGTTTCAAAACAAAACAAAACTCCCTGGGGATTATCATTTACCAGCACTTTAAATACATTTATTTCTTTGTGAATGTCAGTTTTGCTGTATTAGGTTGTATCATTTGTACAGGTGTGTCTTTTCGTGAGCAGGTTCGGGGCATCCACAAAGCATGGTATTTAAAGGAATTTTGCATTTTAAATGTTTCACATTAGGCATTTATTAAAAATCAATGCCCCCTTCCAAAATACATTTCTTAATTTTTTTTTGTACCTGTCTCCTATGTCCTTTGTGTAACAATTTCTTGTTCAGGTTTCTAAGATTCTCCTCCCTATGACTATAATGGGGTTTCGGCTCAACATCTGAATTTAGGTAAAGTTTGGAAAATGCATCTTGAATTGAACCCAAGTGCACATTGCTCTTCACTACCTGTTGTTATCATCAGGAAACATGCCTTGAGTGATATACCATTTAGACAGGAAGGAGGTTTAAAGTATCAGCATCAGGAGTTCAACAGCAAAGTGTGAATAAAAAGGGGAAAACAAGTATAAGTCAAATAAAGGCTATTGTTTTGATCACAGTGTTTTAACCTCTTGCCCTCCAGAGGATTTACCCCCCTTCCTGACCAGGCTATTATTTGCGATACAGCGCTGTTACTTTAACTGACAATTGTGCGATCATGCAAAGCTGCACCCAAATTAAATGTATGCCCTTTTTTCCCACAAATTGAGCTTTCTTTGGTGGTATTTGATTGCTTCTGTGTTTTTTATTATTTTGAAAAAAAAAACAATATTTTTGACTTTTTGCTACAAAACATAAAACATTTTTAAAAATCAAATTTTGTCATAAGTTTAGGACAAAACGTATTCTGCTACATGTCTTTTTAAATCCCAATACATGCAAATTAAATGGTTTATGTGAAAGTTATAACGTCTACAAATGGTGGTATAAAACTGTATTTTTTTTCTATTTTTTTTTATACAAGTAAAGGCGGCAGTCAGCGACTTATAGCAGGACTGCGGGACTGCGGTGGGCATTTTGACACTGGGGGGGACTGACTAACTGCCACTGACATCCCCAGTGACACTAATACAGTGATCAGTGCTAATAAAAAGCACTGACACTGTACAAATGACACTAGGCAGGAAGGGGTTAACATCTGGGGCGATCAAAGGTTCACAGTCTGCTGTGTGCTGTTTTACTGTGTAAGCATTCTGCTTTGTATTGCTCTGCTATGTAGGGCAATGCAATGCAGCATGCTGGTGCTGACAGGACAGAGATCTATATTGTTTACATACAAACTTCTTCCCTGTCAGTGTCCTTCGGTGATCGCTGAGTGATGGCACAAAATCTCTGGCCGGTATATATATGTGATTTTGCACAGCCCTGCCACCCTGTTGCAGTAGTTCTGCTATAGGGAAGTTGGGAAGCAGTTAACAAACTTATATTTAGTTAGGATTTACATCTACTTTAATATGTGTGTGTAAAAGCAGAGCAGCATTTCTCCTGTTTATACCTATAAAATGTTTGTATCCACTTATATTCTGTGTATCTAAGAAAGAATCCAGGCTTTTTTTTAAAGCAATCCACTGAGCTGGCCAGAACCAACTCTTGAGGGAGTCTATTCCACATTTTCACAGCTCTCACTGTGAAGAAACCTTTCCGTGTTTGGAGATTAAATTTATTTTCCTCCAGACATAAAGTGTGCCACCTTGTCCTCCGTGATGACCTCAGGGTGAATAACTCTACACTGAGTTCACTATATGAACCACTGATGTATTTATACATGTTGATCATATTCCCCCTTAATCTCCTCTTCTCAAGAGAGAATAAATTCAGTTCCTCTAGTGTTTCCTCATAGCTGAGCTCCAACCAGTTTGGTTGCCCTTCTCTGTACTTTCTCCAGTTCCCCAATGTTCTTTTTGTGAATTGGTGCCAAAAATGAACTGCATATTCCAGATGAGGTCTTACTAATGGTTTGTACCGAGGTAATATGATATCTCTCTCTCTGGAGTCTATACCTCTTTTAATGCAAGAGAGGAATTTGCTTGCTTTAGAATCTGCAGCTTGGCATTGCATGCCATTATTAAGCTTGTGATCTACCAGAACCCCCAGATCCTTCTCCACCATTGATTCCCCCAGTTGTCCCCCCCCTAGTATGTATGATGCATGCATATTCTTAGCCCCCAAGTGCATAACCTTATATTTATCAACATTAAACCTCATTTGCCACATAGTTGCCCAAGTAAACAGTGCATTGAGGTCAGCTTGGAAGTTGAAGACATCCGGTAAGGACGTTATTCCACTGCACAGCTTGGTGTCATCTGCAAAAACTGAAATGGGATTTTTAATCTCAGACCCTATATTGTTTCTAAATTTATTAAAAAGTAAGGGTCCCAACATTGAACCTTGGGGTACACCACTGATGACCCCAGACCATTCAGAGTATGACTCATTAACCACTACTCTTTGAAAACGATCTTTTAGCCAGTTTTCTATCCATCCATCCATCCAGAAGTGCACTATTTTTTTTTCTAGTCTGATTTTACTTGTCAAAAGATGTTGCTCTATAATGTGCATAAATTACTCACTTTTTACACTTTCTGTTGTCCTCTCATCTTTAGTGTCCACCTCGTCCTTGTATGAACCAAACTAAATATGTTTAATGCTTTCCTTCAGGACTATCCTCTTAAACTGATGGAAATTAAATGCCTTTGGCATATTTGAATTCATAAAACACTGATGGAATGAACAGGCTGGTGTTATGTACTGTATGTCTGTCAACGTGAAAGCTTTGCGGACGGCACAAAGGCACACAAGTATACTTTCAAATATTGTTTCTGCATAAGTGAATCTGATAAAAAAAATATAAACATCTCCTGTCTGCCAATCAACACAAGCAAATACATGTAAAGCAAAATAAAACCTTTAGAACAGCTCTGAAGTGAATGAAAATAGGAATATGAAATGAGAGAAAAATAATGTTCTGCCTCAAAAGGTGTGCATTGACTGTATACCTTCTGCAGTACAAAAATTAATTTATTGTATGACAAATGTTGTCAGTGCTGCTTTTCTTCTGTTATCAAAAATACTTTGTTCAAAGGAAGCGAATATTTTTAAACTGGAACTATATGCAAATATAACCAACAATAAAAGTCCCAAAGGCATACTAATACATACTGTGCAGTATATCCACCCATAACTGATAACACAATGAAATCAGAAGTACTTGTTCAATGACACTGAATCAAAAACTCCCACGCTATCACAGATGGTATGTGAACCAAACAGAGCAAAAAATTAAAGAGAAAACCATGAAAAAAAATCCAAATTGATTGCAGCAGCTGTTGTCATGTGTCCCCACACCAAAAAAAAAATCTAAATAAAAGTACTTTTTAAATAAGGTAAATATATGTGAGCGCACATAAAAAGTATAGCAGCTGTGCACCAGGTAACCATAAAAAACCTCTAAAAGACAATATAAATCAAAAGTGCAGCACTAGAGGAAAATCACAATATGAAAATTAAATGTATATACATCATTAAATAGACAGTTCATTAGGTGACTTGAAGTGACTTCAGGTGCTCTCATGTAACTTTGTCCTCCTATGAGTAAGGTGCTGTGATATAAAGCGCGGTAAGAATGCGCACTCACCAGAACGCGCAATTTAATGAGCGTTTTGTTATATTTTTCCTGATGTCATCTGCCAATCTGGATAGTATCTGGAGTCTGGTATATTCCCTCCTGTGGTCCTGGATGCTGTTAATGGGACATCAAGGTGGTCCGGAGTTCCCTTCAGGTGATAGCTTTGGTACTGCTCTCTGGAGGTTGTAAAAGCTCCCTCTCCGGTGGTTAGGTGGGTAGCTGCGAATTAATACTCCCCAGGGGAGTCAAAGCAGAGACATCTCCATAGTGTAGTATGATATAGCATTTATTGAGGCATGTGTGAGTATCCTTGAGAAAAAGGAGCAGATTAAAAACAATGTGGACTAACCGTCCAAAGTGTAAGATGGCCGCCGGAGTGCCACGATGCCCCGGCGGCGTGACGTCATGGCGTTGCTGGCTCCTAATACGCGTTTTGTGCGCACGCACGCACGTCGTCTGGGGGGATTTGCCAATAACGCCGAGCCGTGTGATGCCAATTTATATGCTAGGCGCATGCGCGTTCAGAAGTACGCCATTTTCAAGGAGACTTAATCCTGTGCGTCCTCGCTGTTGTGCGGGCGCCATTTTATTTAGGTTATTTTCGGTCTGAAGTAGCGCTATTGCTATTATATATGCGCCTTAATGACAATGGCTAATTTTCTTGCATGAATGCGCACAAGAATATGCCATTCTAAATATGTGATATGATAGAAATACCAGAGCTTGTCTCTATATGTTCTTTTATGGTAATCGAAAAAACTATTTAGTAATGGGGACAAAATATATTACAATTAAACCATTACCAATCAGCTAATACGCCTGGTATTTGTTTAAAAGAGGATACAGATCGATTCCAAAAGAGTAGAACTAGCATATAAATAGTCTGTGATGAAAATTATAAATAAGTCTATAAAGCAATAAGTAATGCACATTAAAATAGAAAAATGGTTAACAATGATAATACTCATGATAATATAAAAGCTAAAAGTATAAAAATTATTGATTACTTATGATGTACTAGACTAATATAGTGGTATGGTTAGTTGGTAATAAAAGATACATAAAACAACATCATGATTATATTCCAAGAACCATGTTAGTTTTTGAATGATTAGGATAAGACCGTATTCTTTCCTATTCTATTCCTTAAAACTAAAGACAAAATATGCACCAGGAAGATGTTAACTATTGTTAATAAAACAGTTTAGGTCTATGTCTATATTATGGCCTTTTGGGTGCAGGGAGCTCCTGTATCCAGCGTGTTTCAAGCTGTGAGACCACCCTCAATTTATTAACACCTCTCCAGTGTGGTTGTACTACATCTATTCCAACAAATTGTAGTGAAGAGGGATCTTTATTATGTTTTCGTTTAAAATGATAAGATAAGGAATGTTCCTTATAGCCTTTCTTAATGTTATTGACATGTTCTCTGAGTCTAACTCGTAAACGTCTGGTAGTTCGTCCCACGTATTGGAGTTTACACGAACATTTGAGGAGATAGACTACGTTCTTACTATAACATGTAATACATTTGTCGATATTGAATGTTCTACCTGTAGTACACGAAGTGAAAAAGTTTTGCTTATGTTTCCTAATGTTATTTGTTGTGCATATCACGCACTTATTGCATGGAAAAAAACCTTTTAAATTTGGTGCAAAGGAAATTTTTTTCTGGGGGATTAATAACATTTGGGGCTAATCAATGTCGTAGGGCCACAGCTTTTTTGTATATAATTTCTGGTTTTTCTGGTAAGATTTTAGAAAGAATAGGGTCCGTCTTCAAAACATTCCAGTTTTTATTAATTATACATTTAATAGCTCTGTGCTGTACGGAATATGTAGTTATGAAGGGACAAACTAGTGATTTATTTGGTACTAATTTGTTCTCTAGTAGCGTGGCCCTATCTGTATTGCCTACCTGTTGAATGGTATTATCCAAATTTTGTTGAGAATATCCTTTCTCCAGGAATTTTTTCCTCAGATCATTAGCTTGTGCATGGTATGTTTCAAGCTCAGTGCAGTTCCTGCGAATTCTTAAAAATTGTCCTTTCGGGATATTTGCCAGCCATGTAGGATGGTGGCAACTTTCAAGCGGAATGAAACTATTTCTATCGGTTTTCTTAAAATATGACTTAGTTACAATCTCTCGTTAAAGTTAGATAAAGTTAGATCAAGGAAATGTATTTCTTTGGTACTGTAAGAGTAACTAAATTCAATATTCAGTTTATTGTCATTAAGTGTGTTAAAAAAATTAAGTAAAGATTCCTCCTCCCCATTCCATAATAAAAAAATTAAAGTAAAAAAAAAGTAAAAGTACTTCTTAAATACGTGCATCAGAGCGCAGATATATAAGCTCCATGAAGGTCAATTAATATATACACTGCTCAAAAAAAATTAAAGGAACACTTTTTAATCAGAGTATAGCATCAAGTCAATTAAACTCCCGGGATATTGATCTGGTCAGTTAAGTAGCAGAGAGGGTTGTCAGTTTCAGCTGCTTTGGTGTTAATTAAATTAACAACAGGTGCACTAGATGGCCAACAATGAATGGTTTTACGGGGGGAGGCCACAGACAATTTTTTCCCTAATCATTTTTTTTTTACTGTTTTTCACTAGTTTTGCATTTGGCTAGGGTCAGTGTTACTACTGGTAGCATGAAGTGATACCTGGACCCTACAGAGGTTGCACAGGTAGTCAAACTCCTCCAGGATGGCAAATCAATAAATGA